TCGCGTTCGTGAACACGTCCTTTGAAACACGTGGCAGGCATGCCTCAGTTCATCTATCGACTTCTGCATCGTGCCGAAAAATAGCATCAGCCTGAAGACTTACGAGACTCCACTTTTTTTTCGGCCTTTTTCTTCCAGAAAACTATCTGTTCATTTCTCTGGCCAGTGAATTTTCAAAAATTTCTCTGAAGTCTCTGTACTTATTACTACTCAAATAGCAGATTTACATCTGCTTTTGGAAAGCACAACAAACTTTTTTTGGGGAGGGGGGGAGGGGGAAGGGAGAGTTATGTTCCCATTTGGGAAATCGCTGAACCCATAGCAGCCTCACTGGAAAAATATTTTTCCGCCTAAGTTTGCGAAAAGACGGAAGCCTTTGAGGGCATATTGACACACTGTTCACAAACATCTACCGGTTCAGCCTCTTTTTCGATCCTTGTAAGGCACGAAGCAGATCTAGACCCTTTGCTTTCCTTTTCTAAACTGAGTCATTTTCACCTGGTGTCTGAAGCAAACAAGTCGCCATCACTATTCGTGAAGATTAAATAGGGCATGGAGCAAGCACATCGAGAAACAACGTGGCACAATTAGTACTTCACTCAGCCAGGGTACATATGAAAATGTTGATGATGAGAACTTTTCGGCTCTCGATGGGCGCTCTTTATACTTCCCTTTCATGGTAGTTCTAGTACGGAGCGAATGGGAGACTTTCCACTCCGTTCAAGATGTTGAAGAAATTCTCATGGGGTTCGTCGGCGCCTTGTCTGTACGTATTGACCGATTCCACGCACAAAAAAGCCCGTACGACTCGGCAATTAAAAAAAAATTCCCCGATGTTTTCCTCTGTTTCTTGGACTCGGCTGGAGCCAGGAAGGCATGGGTGGTCACGGAATGGCGCCAAATCGCTTTGGCGCCATTCCGTGACCGAGCTGCATGGATCGACTCGGCCAGCCTCACGCGGAAATCCGAAACGTCTCATCTTGCGTCTCGGTTTGATTTTAACAAAGTTAGCGCCTTCGAAGTCACGGAACCACAAAGGATGATGGCATGCCTCTACGACCTCGATCTCGGATCTCGGCGGGGAACTCGTCTCCACGTTCGGTCGTTATCGACCCCTTCACTTTCTACATCACGACGCCGATCGAAGATCTCGTGGACCGGTCCCATACACGTCACGACGTCAGTCTGGATGCCCATTCGTGTCGAAAACGAAACCGCAGAATCAGTGTGGAAGGCAACGAAGTGGTGTGCTCGTCGTAAGACATCCTTCGTTCCGGAGATACTTTTCTCTCTCATCCGAGGGGCAATCGCCTCTTTGGCACGAGGATCGAATCTCTTCGACGATCGCTCCCGATCGACTTTCGACGAGGAGTGCATCCGATTCCCTCGCTCGAGGACGAGATGAAAGTTGGAAATGCGTTTGAAAATTCGGCCTCTGCAGGGAGTGCACGACGGGCAAGCATAGAAGCTGGGAGAGGGGAGGGGAGGAAAAGAGAAGAGATCGATATAGAGACCTCTCTCTTCCTCCCCATGCGCCCATGGCTCTTTCCTTAATGGACGACATCAGTGTGCTTTTAGACTTTGTTATGGGAAGGACACTCCTCTTTTCCGAATGCACCCATCCCCATGCCCTTCACTCGTCTCCGTACGAGTATATCCCCGTTTTACAGGCTCCGTCGGGTTTTCAGGGCCTCTTCTTCCATTCTTGGTTCGGTAACCTCTTAATCACCGATCGTTTACTTAGAGGATCTCCATCGGTCTCGACGAAGAAACGAACACTGCGAGAGACCCTCGTACCTTCAGTATATCATCGATTCGTTAATGCTTTCGAGAGGGGACGAATGCATCATCACGATTTCTTTATTTCGATGGCTGAAAGGACCTACATTTTTACCGATGAAAATGGTTTGTTTGTTATCCATTACATCCCACATATTCTACAGTTGCGTTTAAGTCGAGCTTTCAAAATAGCCGAATATTGCATCACCGTATGCCATAAAGAAACGACCGGTCGTAGTAGTGAGACGCGAATTGACGGGAGAATACAATGGCCTCCCATCGATAAGTTGCCAGTGCAATCGTCGTGTCGTGCCGACTCCATTATGCCATCATAGGATACCCATTCTGGGTATCCTATTATGGCGGCTACCATTGAAACGTTTATTGTGGAGCAAAGGATCATCATAAATGTTATTCTACCTGAAGGCTGCATCGAAAATGCACTCGAGGCTTGCTGAACGATTCATTGAGCATGATCTGGCTCGGAGAACAGTGTACGAGCAGGAGAAACGCCTGTCGAGGGGGTCGAAAGCTTCCATGCGATGATTTATAAAGAAATGTTTCCTACATATTTCACCGGGAAGGCTCAAGCAATTCTGTGTTGCTAGGATTCAGGCAACCCTTCGCAGAAGGAACAGTGTATCCAGAATCGGGAAGATTAGCTCAAGAAACAAGGAGCCCGATGAATGAGATCGACCTAATATCTCTCGTATGCCGCAAGGTTGTGCATGCGGGGATTCGAAATCTCTCGTGGTATTCTTTTCGGAACAGTCGTCGTCATTCCATAATCCTTGAAATTTTGCTGGAAAAACGTACGCAATGAGGACGGCTGGTCATGTCTCCAAATTAGTCTCGATGCATCATGAAAAAGGAGTAGCCCTTGCTCGTGTGATTGGGCGACGCTGCCACTCGTCTCTTGCATGGTTTCTTCACGCTTTTCTATTGAAAATATAATCAGTTGCCTTGGATATTCTATTTCTTTTCAAGTGTGGCGCACAGAAAATATTCTCAATTTGACTCAAATTCCAATAGCCTGGTAGTCGTACTGGAATCACATTCGTACTTGAATGAATGTCCGAGAGACACTATTCCGTTAGAATCCAAAAAATTAATCGCAGTCACTTCCAATTTAAAATGTGATAACGAACATCGTATGTACAGGGTGGCCCAAATGTAACTTCGCACTTTCAAGTCCAAAAGTTTATTTATATAAAAATAATACCTTAATAAATAAAAATTTGTCGCTGCTTACTTAAGCGTGACATCTTAAGGGGTCAGTGAGAGCCTCAAACCTATAAAAACAATTTATACAGAATTTTACATTGCAAACAATGAGTATAAATATCCAAAGATTTCGCTTAAAAGTGTGAAGTTACATTTTGGCCACCCTGTATGTATCCATCACCGGTAATAGCCACAGGGTTTACATATATGATTGAAAAAACGTTATCGCATCCGAGAAAGAAAGTGATCGACGGAAAAAATGCACATCGAGAAGAGCTGTTGTTGCTTCTCTTTATTTTTCTTGCCTCTGTGGGAGAGGCAAGAAAGATAAGGTTTGAGGAGGGGATGGACAAAATTACAGTTGCAAATCGCACTGTCGCTGGAATTGATTAACCCCTTTATTTTTCTTCTCGATTTCTCGCTTCTTGTCATTACTTGGAAGCACATTCCCCGCTAGGGAAATGCACCTTGAGAGCAATTTCAGGAAAACCACCGTTCTCCCTGTAGAACTTGCTGCTGAAGTGAATCGTCGAAGTATGGAGCAAAACTTCTGTAGATGTGACAGACCGTGGAATGGACGAGTTGCGACGTGGACGAGTTGCTGGCATACCGAGTGGGCGGCAGTCGCTTAGTACTTAACTTTTGCCAACTTATCCCACCTAGACAAAAGTTGGTAGGCATCTGCAAATATCATTTCTCTCTTTATATCAGGAAATGGCATCCGTAATATTTTCCTTCAGCGTTTATTTTTCACCGGTTTACTTTTTTTGTTATTGCTTACCTTTGTACACGATAACACAAAAAATACCAACGACTTTTAACTCGCATATCTCCACTCTCGCTGGATCTTCTTCCACAAAATTACAATGTGCTTATATAGATGTTCTCCACAGATTTCTAAATTTTATTTCATATTGATATTGGCAAAGGAAGGCCAAGAGCAATTATTCGAAAGAAATCGGAAACTGAAAATGGACAAAAGACTCGAATCATTTCCGAGTTTCTCCTCCACCTAAGTTCCAGCTTTTCCTGCCTCGTTCTTTGACGAAGACCAAAGGAAAATCTGAATAAACAATGAGCAAAATCTCTGCACTGATGCATAATGATTCATAATCATTAATTGGAATGACGATTATCAAACCTATCTGCAAGAGGTCAGTCTAAAAAGAAATGAATTCCAAAGCATTAGGACTTCGATGTGGCCTGGATGACAAGCAGGGCGCTCGGGCTTGTCTTTCACTCCACTACCAGCACGAGATTACGTCCACATTCATTATCAAATTTCTTTTAAATTGTCAATACCCTTGCCTCGGAGCAATACATTTTAAAGAAATTTCATGAATATGTTTGAAATATATACATCTATGCACAGCGAAAGTTTCGTGAAAATAGCTCCAGTGGAAGGGGAGATTAAATATCGTTTTTATTTTTTGTTGTCCTACCTTATTTGTATGTCAAGTCGGTACGATCCAAGCTCATGCATGGATTCTATTTTTGTGCTTCCAAACCTCTGGTGAAACGAAGCAGACATCGAAGAGAGAAAGGTATGAAAGAAACACGAAGACAAATATCCCATCGTGTCCATCTTTTATTTTCGCTATATCGAGACCAATCCGAAATCACTGGGGAAACATCGCTGGGGAGGGAAAAAAGATCAAGACCTTGAAAATCATCGGGAAAGGTTCATGGTCCAAAAGTGGCAAAAAACAAATCACCCCCCAACATGAAAAATTTGAGCCCAATTTGTATTGAATGCACACAGCGACGAAGAAGTCTCTAACGTGTGTAAAATGACACTCAACAAATATTTAGAAAATACTCGATGGAACATCTGGATATTTCCAAACCGTGGAACCGGCTCAAAAATTGCACTATATCCCACTCGCACAAGCTAAGTGAACGAATCATACAGACAAAAAATTCAAATATCACGTATCCCGACGATCGAAATTTCTTATCGGGATTCTGAATACAGAGTGAAGAACTACTGGGATTCCCTTTGGGTTTTGCACCAAGAAACACGGACGCAGTAGAAAACCCCCGATTGATGATAAATAAGGCAGTAAAGCTGGTTGAGAGGAAAAGAAAAGCCATGCTTTCGTGTGGGGAATCTTTGGATCCAGAGTGGAGTGTATCACGTGATGGGCTCAGTCGGAGTTGCAACTGGAGAGTTCGGAGGGGGTATTAGGGAAATGGGAGGAAGGGTCGGAGGGTGGCCCGGGTGCCAGGGTGCCCTCATACCCCCCACTGTTCAGTTCCTGAAGGGGTGGAGGCCCGAGGTCTCCCATCTCCCCACCACCCACGTACCCGTGCATCTGCAATGCAAATACGATTCCTTCTCACTCATCAAAAAAATACATCACGCGCAGAATCAAACGAGATCTGAAAAAACATATATGGAAGAAAGCAGCCAGGCGATGTTTTTGAAAGCATCATCACTCACTCAGAACGTGAATTAATTGCACTTTTTTATTTCTAGGAAGAAGAGATTTGTATCAGTGCATGCATGTCATGGTATTCATAAGTGTCACAACTCAGCATCCTCACATCATGCCATCGCTGGACATTTTATCTCTTAGGCTCACTAACTGCAAGGAAAAAAGGGAGAACAAGACGTGGCTTTATCTTCCTCACTAACTGCAAGAAAAAAGACAGAACACGACGTGGCCTTATCTTCCAGTCATTAGTGCGATCAGACTAAGGATAAATGCATCTAGATTATCCGGCTCCCAAAAGATACTGGTATTTTTTTGTCGCCCTAGTATGAGAGTGCGGTGATGTAAGCCTTACAGAACTTGAACATGACACCAGATTCCATCCTGAGCTTGCTTGCCGATGCGTCTACGTGGGGATTGGATCATTTTTACCGATGTGTCTGCAGGTGACAGAGGCCGAGAACAGCAGTGACATCGATTTCATATCGAGAAGAGTTCTACCCGTAGGAAAAGAAAGGGGAGGGGAATGCAAGGGTAAGGGGACGAAGACAAGTGATGTGACAGTGCAAATATCCGGAGTGAATATCGCATGCATGGAGGCCAAACACGAATCGGCTCGGATTTCCCGGCACGTCAAAACCACCTGTCAGTTTCACCACGTTGGATCCCGTCCACACGGGGGAGATCAAATTCCCTCAGCTGCATCGTCTCCTCTCCGTGCACATGCCTGCCATTTAAATCCCCCCCGTCCAGGATTACATCATAATCAGGGCTATTGATGAAAATTTTCTATGCAACCGAGCGGCATCTGGCGCTCGGATGAAGACCATAGACACACACAGACGATTGTTTGCGACCGAGACAGAAAGTCAATGCCGGGCTATTGTTGGTTGATTGGAGAAAAAGGGGAATGGGATCCTATTACGCCATTGTTCCACGTTCCCCCCGGGGACCATGAGAATGTCTTTATTTCCTCCCCTCCAACCACGGATCACACTTTTTCCCTTGAGGTTCATCTATTTCAATTTGTGGAGTCTTCCCGAGGCTCATTCGGCCACGCCTGCCAAACCGAGGGGCGATCATTCAATCGCCTTTTTTCCTCCCTCGGCGAAAAGTTTTGACGCAAAGTATGTGCGGGAGGGAGAGGGAGAGAGTGGCATATCCGAGTTCCCGAAGCTCTCTCGTATGACGAGAAGCACGGCTTTTATGGTTCGGGGGAAAGCGAATGAATTTATAATCACAAGAGAGAGGCAGAAACGCAAAAAAAGGGGAGTTCCCCCTCGTTTCTAAGCACTGTCCAGCCGAGGCGTATATAAGCGGCATGCTTTCAATGTAATGGGCAACGTCCATTTCCATCGTTCCGCTCGGTGGAGGGACACAGGGGGATCCATAAACTATACCTCGGGCTACTGCTTTTAAAAGCTCGTGTCTTCTTATCTTGTCGGCACCCAAATAAAGATGCTTCTTCGAGTATATCACTTTCTCTCGTTTCGCAAGAGACGGAGAAAAAAGTTGTAAATTTAGCAGATAAAATCGTCTGACTCTCCGCGAGTTTCGACTCAGGTCATCGTGTCAAAGGGTGGGCAGAGAGAGGGGGAAATTCGCACGATCGCGAGATAAGGACGCGGCGCAGACTAATCGTTTCCGGAGTAATCGTTGCCTTTGTTCTAGAGTTGGAAACTCCGTGGGGACGATGAGATGCCTGGTCATCGATTAGAGGGTTGAATGGGACAAAGGCGGGGAGAATCAGAACGGTCATTCGTCAAGTGAGAGAGAAAGAGAAAATTCATTCCATTTCCGACTTCCGGCATCCGAAATCTATAAATCCCCGAGGCCTGTTTCCGATTCCCGTCCGTGCGAGCCTCTTTGGAACGGGAAAGGTTCCCTACAGGTCGCGTGCACGGTCGAGATGGAAATCCACCCCGTGTCTCCTGCTTTTCATTCCCCCCGATTGAAATCCACCGCAGTCGGGGAGCGAGGGAGAGAGAGAATGCAAGGCAATCTTTTTCTGTCGGGTTCATCGACTTGCAAATGCGAGGGTGCTGATTAGAGACGCCATTAATTCGCGTGTGAAGCTATTCGGGCAAATGGCAGGACACGAAAAACTCGGCCGGCAATCCATCGATCCGGCGTACGAAAGCCAAACTTGTGCAAACTTTCCCCCACCTCGATTCCCGCATTACGTCGTCATTTCTCGGACGGAACAAACGAGCGCGGAAGGGAATGCACGAAGGATTGACGGGCGGGAGGCGATATGATGTAAGGGTCACACGGAAGCAATATGCGAAATCTCGTCATGTTGCGTGCCGAGATTACATTGACGGACACGCAAATCGAATCTAATCTTACCCCCAACGGTCGTCCGCTTGTTTGTCACAAAAAAAAGAAGGATCGGTCGGAGAACGGGATCGATCCTACCCGTCCCGTGCACGGTTCTTCGTTCTCTTTCGGATCTTGGACGATCCCCCTTCCTTCACGCTAGACACGACGGTAGGCCTTCTCGGACTGCCGGGTCGTGGTACTTCAGGGGGTGAAAAGTCTCCCTCCCTTCGATACTTACTCTTCTTTCTCTCGTGCACCTTGTGTCTTCCCCCAGCAATTTACGGGTTGCAAGCGAGCAAAATACTGTTTCCTGCACTTCATGTGCAGAATATTCTCGAAATTCTCTTGTGAATTAGAAAATTGAACGTGAAGTATAAAATACAAGTACTGTTAATGGTCACCAAGTCAACTCTAATAATGAAACAAATGCGTAATAAAGAAAAAATTCAAGAATTCTTGCTGTTTCAATTGCGTTGAGGTGTCGACCCACTCTTAAGAGGTGTTTGATCACAAGCAAAAAAAAAGAAGTACATTAGTTAGCTGAATGTGCTTCTACTTAAACGAGTTGCATCCTATGCTGCTAATGAAACATCGGAATGAAAGGAATCACAGAGGATATCGTACTTTGATTAGTATTTTAATATATATGACCGTATATATTTTCCGGCAGAGAATGTATTTGAAATACGATGCTTTGAGCTACATATTCCGGGAGCCTTTATGAGAGTCTCAGTGGCATATGGTGGTGGCCATCAGATGGGTTCAGTCTCGGCATCATTTTTGAGTATCTACGAGGGTCGTTTCATAAATTCTGAGACCCCTCCTCTCACGAAAATTCAACAATTTGAGTGACCCAGATTTATTATTTTCCCTATTGAGAGCAATCTTCCAAAGACTTCACAATTCCATATTCAGTCCTGCCAACGTTTGCATTTCATAGAACACGAATTTTTATTTATTTTAAACAGGTCCTCAACATTTGCATTTGCTTGCTTCCAGACTGGGATCTCTTGCAAAGAAGGTCTCATAAATATTGATACATGCTAAAGCAAATTATATCGATTAATATATGGGGGTCCCGAGAAAGGAGGTTTCGGAACTTTTGAAATGACTCTTGTACATGAGGCATATAAAGGTACATCGAACTTTGAGTCCTCAGTTGCGCCGAACAGGAGAATAATGAGGTATTTGTTGCCTAAAAGAAAAAACCAATTATATTTTGCCATTTTCGGTGCTGCGTTCGTTTTGACATGCTACTGAATAATCGCACTAAAAATTGGGAAGCAAAAATTGATTTCACTCCTGCAAGTTGACCCAAAACCGATTCTCCTTGATAATCGTAAATGAAACGGTGTATTTTTTGTTCTGTCTTAGGATTTTGAAGAGCAATTCAAGATGAGCGATGGAAATATTCCAAGTTATTACTCTATGGCAAAGGACGATAAAGATGTGCTGAATATCCCGTTATCCGTCTTGCAACATTTTTCAATTTAACCGGAAGTGTGGAAACGTTTAAAATAGAATGAATTCGCTTGCTTGTTGACAAAGGACTCGACCTTGAGCGAAGCAGCACATCTGCAATGAGGAAAAACACGTCCTCCAACAAACTATCCACACCGATAATTTACGTCCTGGACTTATCAGAGATGTATTTATTATGGGGAGGAAAAAGAAAGGCGCCGCGACCAGTCAAATTGAAAGCCGAGATAACCTCTCAAGTGGTCTTTTAAATGCCGCCGCTGTGAATTCACGATGGGGATACGATATGCAAAAGAGGTCCAGTACTTGAACCGGAAGGCATCAGAAAAAAGGGAGTGGATCGAAAAAAGCGAGACGGGCGGTAGGTGTATGTATGTATGTGTAGGTTTGAGGGGTCTCATGCCCCGAGGGGCGGAGGACAGCCGACTCCGAAGGGGCGCCAGACCCTATCTCCATCATTTATCTCCTCTATAGGTCCTCCTCTCTCTCTCTCTCTCTCTCTATCTCTCTTTCTCGGATCCGTTATATAGTAGAGTATAGAAAGAGAAATGACTGGTAACAGGGCACCCCCCGGAGCACCTCGCACCTCTGCATGTCCTCACTCCCTACAGGGGGTCTCTTGCAATACCTTCCGCACTTCTGAGTGGCTGGGCTTCACAAATTAGATACCTAATCGCACGTGCCAACGTCACTCGACTCAAAAGTAAATTTAAAAGTGGATCAACTCCGTCCGTGATTACCTCATTGGGAGGTCTACCCATTACGCGAAGGCATATCAATGCTCAAGCAATCGAGGGCGTGTTCGTTTCAACACTGAATTATGTAAAATATACACAAAACTGGATTTAATCAAACTTGTCCTTACTCCTTAACGCCGAGGCACTTTCTTACCTCGAAAATTGAATATCAATCGGGCCGGGGAAAGCAAGAATAGGCTTCGGCTACCTTCCATTTTTGCATTTATCGAGACGAGTAAGCATTCTAGGAAGGTGCGACAGGAAAATGTTGCAAAGAGCAGCATCAGCTCCCTCAAAGGCAGAAGCATATGCAGCAGAATTTAGCGCAATTTACACCAGCGGAACCGTAAACACTTCTCTAGTTTCGATGAATTTAACGAAGAATGTAATATTGACTCTGAAATTAACTTCAATTTTAAAAGAATATATTCAATGTAATGCATCTGTAAAATACCATTTCTCTCTCGCATTGCATATCAGACAAGAAGCAGAAATAATCTGCCGTAAAGGCACAGAAGCAATGCTGCGCATAAATTTAATTACGAAGAAATCTGCATAAAAGTTTTTCAATGGCATAAAGGGAAGAAATGACAAGCACAGCCACATGACATTTGAGACCGTCGTTTGCCTTTTTGACCAAGTTTTCACTTCTGTATTGAAAGTTAAGCCAAACAAAACATTTTGGGGAAGGTATCTAAATAAGAAGCCATTTGTGGGCCAATGTCCGGTAAAACCGTCTTTTTACTCAACCACTTTGGCTTTCTCTCTCTCTCTCCACCGTCTGCGTGATCACCCTTTTCCTCCTGTCTGGTTTCAATGCGAATGCAAATTGCATTTCTCAACTTCCATCATACAACGTTTTCGTCTTGTACAGAGGGGAATGACTCATTTCGAACGCATGCATTTCTTCCCGCTGAATTTTTGCATGATATTCCTCAATTTGCAGCTTTTGATTCACACTGTTCGTGTAACGAAAGTTGGCCTTCCACTGAGATATCACCAGTGCGTCAGTGTAATACAGGGTATGGCCAAAAAAAATCACCGACTTTTAACCTCTGTATCTCTGTTTTCATAGGAGCTTTTTCACGCAACTTGCTTTTCACAGAAAATTGATGTTCCCAACAGACCGTCGAAAATTCATCCCGAGTGCCAAAGCAAGGCTGTAAGCAATTATTGATAAGACGTCGAAAATTGAAAACGGATCTGGGGCCTAAAGTCACTTCAGAGTGACTGCACTTACCTCATTCACCGATGAAACCAAGCTATGAGAAAATTCGTTTAATTGGTATTTATTGATTAATCAGTCATTAATTGGAAGAAAGACTATCAAAACCTTCGCCAGGAAAAGGCCAACCCAAAGAATGAATTTCAATGGAATAGAAGTTCAATGATATGCATTCACAACGCGAAGGCGTGGAGTCTCAATCCCAGCATGAGATCTTGTGCATTTTCAATATAATAGAAGTTATACCTAACTTCTGAACTCAGCACCTCGTCCCGTGACCACAAACTCGGATGAAATTTCAAAGATCAATTGGAAATATCCATCCATGCACAGTGCGAGTTTCTTGAAATAGCTCCAACCAGAGTAGAGATGTATAGGGATAAGCGTTGCGTGCATGGAAAAATGGGGGGGGGGGCATTGGAACTCGGGGACATTGTTCTCTTGCATTTCATCCGTCTTTTCCTTCTTATTTTTCCTTTTTTTTTCAAGTAGGGAATGCACAAGTCCCGTCCCCTATCCCTAAGATACGCCGCTGTGTAAAGGCTCAAAGTCGTTGGTCTTTTTAGCCATACCTTGTAAAAATTCTTGCCCTTATAAACCTACCCTACACGCTCTGTCATACTGAAAAGCTTTATAGTGCCAGTTATGGAAGACAGAGAATCCATCAGTCCAGTCCGATACCTCAGCTGCAAGTAACAGGGAACGAGAGGCAAGCGGTAGAGGTAGAAGTCAAATCGAGATATACAGGATTCGCAAGTCGTAAATAAACATAATATGCATCCTTCCGGGCAGAGAATTTAATAGCCTACCAGGAATCGACCAGGGCGAACAAATCGAATATTCGGCGGGATGGATGGCTGACGACAACAAGGAGCTGAGGGCTCAGCATTTGTTTTCAAAAAGTGCCTCTACCACAAAACATCCCAAAACATGATGTATAGCTCAACCTCGAGCAAAGAGCGTACATGTCATAGCCTACTTTAAAACATAGTAACATAAATTAATGAAAGAGGATCCAAACTACTCTCCGATGGCAATCTCCAATTTTCCCCTCTCTGAACTCCGGAGTAACAAGTATATCATCTTCATCTGACACTCTCATTCACAAGATGCTCTCCGAGATTTCCCATCAAAGAACCCTGATCTTGAATCGTGATCGCGATCCTGTTCTGGCATGACGGTCGCTCCATGCAGCATGATATTCACCGTGAAATTCTTGGAAAAGCTGCATCTTGATATTGGGTGGATTGCAATAAAACTGACTTTAGCGTAATGAAGCTTTAAGCTTCTATTAGCACCGCTAAAGGAGGTTCAAAGCTTTATTACGCTAAAGTCAGTTTTATGCAATCCACCTATTATTTTTAAGGGCAAATAAATAATGCAAACGGCGGAACGGTTGAATTCAATGGATTAATTACTGTAGACTTTAAAATCAAATACCATTTTCTCCAATCGTCATGATTACATGCGAGTAAAAATAGCCCAAGGTCTCTTGAAACATAACCAAGGTGACAGCTCTGATGCTTCGATCCAACGACCAGGAAAATCCCCATGGAGCCGTAAGAAATAACTTTGGCGATGTGAGGGTGAGCGCCATCTTAGTTACACCATAGATGACGATGTTAAACAAACAGGTGTCTGGAGACTCTTTCTTCAAAACTAGCTGGAGACATTCAAGAATCTCTCTGTAATAGGGGTATGCTGGGCGCAAGTTCAATTGGAATTTCGTTTGAATACCTATTGTATACGCATTCTTATCGCATTCCCAAGAGCACGGGATATGGACCAATATTGGTCCAATGCACTGTGAGCTGGGAAGATCACATTATAATTTAGGTAAGTGGTTTTCAACTTTTCAGCGAAACGTACCAGATTACCAGACCATAACCTTGACTGTAACAATCAAATTTCATGGAAAGTTAATTTATGACTAAATTAACAAGAAAGTAATGAAGTTGTGAACAGTCCATGAGTAGTCTACTTCATTACATTTTTTTTTCCCACTGATATTTGCCTCTTTTAATTTCACACGCACCTACAGCTAAAGCAGGTGTTGGTACGCGTACCAGCGATTGAAAGTCATTGCTTTAGGCTTGCTTGGCATGGCGTCCGGAGTGAGGTGATATAACTGTCATGTTCACGTGAGTATTCCGTATTTGATCCCTCGACGATGATCTTTTTGTTGGGGTTGCAATAAGTAAGTAAGTGATGACAGTAAGATGCCAGCAAACAAAGGCCGCGCTCATCTCTTCCTTGTCTGTTGAATGTTTGGATTGGAGCCGATCGAGAGGGGGCGGGCAAACATCCAATTAAGATATTGGTGATTGGAGGGAGGCCAATGGCAATAAACATTTACAAAGGAGACCAGGGTGGTCGGTCATCTCGAGACCAAGTGAGGAATTTCCCACACATTCCACCATCCCTCCATACACTCTTCGCATAGAAATGCACTGCTGGACCGGTAACACCCAAGATCCACGAAAACATGACCGCTTCAATTTGTGGGGGGGGGGGGGGGGGGGGAGATTATAGGGGAGGGGGGGGGGGGGGGGGGGGGGGGGGGGGAAGATATTAAGTACATTTGTCTGCGGAACTTAGAGGGATGAACATGGAACACAAACTGTCGTCATCACAGATGACATACTGTACTGCACGCCACAGACCCCAAATGTCGACTAGCAAGCCCCATTCCCAACACGTATCGAATGACTTTTTTTCCCCTCGTTCCTTCTTTCTTTCTCTGGTTCTTTTTAATGATGATGGACAAGGGGGAGAGAGAGAGAGAGAGAGAGAGATAGTGGAGTCAGACGGGCGGCGGGGCGGGATGTCGCCGTGAGTCTTGTTATGTCGGGAGCGGGACTATGAGAGCACCCACCGGCACCAGCTATGACAGCTATGTCCCTGTCCCTCCGTCTCCCTTCCCAGTCCCACCAAAAATCTCGCCATCCTTTGCTTTTCGTGCCTACCATCCCCCTCTCCCCCTCAAGTTCGTTTCCGAGTCAGTTTTCTTCGTCCAGGTATTACTACAGGTACAGGTACAGGAATTAATTTTAATTCAGTCAGTGCGGATTCTGGAAATTCATTCTTGAAGTTATTTTTTCGCGGGCACGTATTTAATGCTCTGATAATGTAAAATATATATATGTGAAACTAGCTTACTATAATGAAAGATATACTCTAGCATGACAGAGTTGTTGTGTAACGTTACCCGAGTAACGCACATGCATTTGCAGACTGTGATAGACAGGAATAGAGAGAAATCCATTCATGAAATGTATTTTTTTCCCCCCTTGTATCAGCGAAGAAGGTGAAGGAGAGGGAGATTTTTCATCGGGGACCGAGAAGCGGCATCTCCGGAATCCCATAGAAGTGGAGGAAGAAAAGGCGCCAGGAAAGCCCTCGACTGGGATGCCATTCCCATCACGTACCCTTGTAGCCTAGACTTAAGACCCTCCGTCCTACCCGAGTCCTATTCTATGACGATGAGTCTGAGAGATCCTCCTCCTCCTTTTCCCTCCTCCAAGAACAATCCGCAAGTGTGCGGCCGAATTACACGCCCTCTTCCTCCCTCCAAAAAATGCAACTTGTACGTCCAATTAAAAATCATAAAAGAAGCAAAAGACCCTGCTTTCCTACATAAAGGCGGAAAAGGAGATAGCCGATTTGGCAGAATGGAATTTCAGCTATGTGAAAAATACCAACCGATAAGATGATAAAGTGTGAATTCTGGAGATTGACAGGTGATATATCGAGAGCAGCGAAATACGTTCGTCGACGTCTTAAACAACAATATCCTATGACCTCGTGGGTTGCGACAGGGGATTTCTCCCACAAGGACATCGTGCTCGAATACAATAGACCTCCAATATCGAGATGGACATAGACGACGGCTATCGAGGATCATGTCCAACACCGGTTGTAATACGAGGATTGTTGGTGGATGGATATACAAACATTCGACAACTATTCGTGTAGATGGACGAGTGAAATACCTAATTCTACGGATCGTGGATCCTTACCTGACTGACGAGATGCTGGAAGGGAGGAGCAGAGGGGTCAAGGCGATCCAAGTCGGCCTGCATGGCAAATTCCGTCAGTGCTTTCCATGGTGGCTGGTAGGATTGTACTTCCACTGGTTGGATACCGATGGGACTCTCGTGACGAACGGGACTCGACGCGATCATTGCCACTCCTTGAAGTCCTCCCAGTCCCAATCGACGACCGTCCTACAAAATTCCCAGGGGAAAAGGAAAAAAAAACTCAACAGATGATATTCGTTCCTCATAAGGCTGCATGTTAAACCCTCTCAGAATCAGAAGATCAGAAATATATGCTACGAACAAGAAAAAATGCTGTAGGCCCAAGGTTACACATGTATAATTGCAACTGAATTAGAATTATATATAAATATCACAAATATCAATATCAAAGGCAGATTGGATAGAAATTTTTTCTTTCCTCATTTACCCTTACGCAAGGACTACCACGTTTTTCTCGACTTCAAGAACGCCACCTGAGAACTTGTAAATCTCTAGCCTTGTCAGTCTCAAGTATTCTCCTTGGATGAGTGCGACCGTCTCGTATTAAATGGCTCGAGATTTCGACACTCGGAACTTTAGCGTCCAATGCCTTTTCATGGCTCTATAACGTTTTACAAAACCAAGCTCCTCTCGCAACATTGATTCAGACTCGAGTAAGATGAAGTTTCTTTACGTCAATCGTGAGTGTCAAATGTTTTGTAACCGTTCCAAAACCTACTGCTGTGCACAAGTCTCCTCAAAAGAGAACAACAATAATGACTAGCTAATTCTCTCAGGAAGTATCTAAAAAGTTTTTCTCTTATACTATTGAAAAATGCATGTTGTTCGTTTCAAACTACTTATTCGAAACAGCTTGAACCCATTTAATTTAGGTGTACTGAAGTACACTCGTTAGCAAAAGAAATCACAAAGCACGTAAATGCATGCGAACTTGAAAAGCACTGGTCGTGGACAATAACTTGAGCATACTGCATCGATGAACTCCTCTGAACGGCTCCTTATTTGAACCGAATCTTGATGTTCAAGGATATGCCGGGCCAGTCCTTTTCTTTCTAAGTACTATTGATAGAGGACTGTCGAAAGCATACAGACCAACCTACTACCAAGAAGTGTAGGCCCGATCTCGAAAAATCAGGTGTCAATTGAATACTCAGGAGTAGCAGTTCGACGCACAAAGGGGTCTTCGTTCAACAAGGAGCAGCATTATTACAGGATTAAAGTCATTATGAGGTATGAGGGTTAAGCCTCGACTATTGCTACTCCTTGTTTAACGAATCGGCTGAAAATGTCTTAAAATGTCACGAGTGACTTTTGCATAATTCTGTCATATGTATTCCGAAAGGGCTGGAAAAAGGCGGGTCGATGAAAACTTGCTTGACGGGTCCATTTGCAATGTACGTCATCGTTGCGTCAGACGAAGGATGAGGATCTGGGTCTGGGATTCGTCTTTCCCTCTCTTCACATGCCACCGAGTTACTCACCAGATAAACAACATGCATTCTCCACGGCTCTTCGGTTTTCCTTCTACGGTTACGCAAAACCTCGTCTAGGGATTGCCGACGGGGGCAACTCCTCCTTTGAAATTCACATGCATTTTTCCTTCTCGTTTCTTCCTTCGAGAATACCCTTCCTTCCTGCATCCACATCGATGTTTCAAGGTTTATCTTCGATTTTTTGTCAACCTTGATCTGAGATTGATCTTATCTTCAAGGGTGATAAGCACCAATAGTATTGCCAGATCCCTTCCGGGGGGAGGGGGGGGCGATTTCACAGCTCTTTTCTCTTTTATTCCAAAGACGATACTTGTTCCTCTGCTGGAGCCTCAAAGGTACGACGAGATTCGGTGATAGTGCGGTGCGTTTGGCACGAGATTCTAGTTAGTGTTCCATTCTAGTTTCATTCTACATCTAGAGCTGTTGCTTACAAAAAAAGGCTACCTGCGATTCTTGGATTTTAGAGTGTCTAATAATTGAGTATACACTATTTTATTATTATTATAAAAAGCACCACGTGGATCAGACATATGTAATAGAAGTTCATTGCACGTTTTTAAAAATATATATACAATTCCTAAAATTCAATCATCAGAATATTCAAACGCTATCATAAAAGTTCGCCAATGACAGAGTGCGCAGTCTTTCCTCCCTTGTTATGTCAATCTGAATGGCATCCATCGCAGCATATGGAATAAGAAACCGGCTCTTCTAAAAAAATTTAAAAAAATAGGAATGGGGTTTCCGTCCATTCATAGTGGCTCAATAAGAAAGACCACTTCCACTTCAGATGCATTTGGGTCATTGTCCACAACTCGTGCTTTTCAGCTCCTTCAGAATCTTGAGAATCTGGTCACTCTAATTCAATCTCTTGAGAGCTGACGGATACAGTGTTCCAGTTCGTTTCAGTACACCGCATGGCCTTATCACTTACAAGAAGATTCATATCGGATGTCGGACGAGCTAAAATTATGGGTGAAATAAAATTACATTCAGATGATGCTATCATCCAGAAAGAAAATCCGCTTAATATTCCATTCTTAGACCGCTTTTATGAGATAGATTCACTGTGACTTCGTATGGGGAGAATGACTCTGTCAATATGGTTAGGAACTACTCTCCCCAAACTCACTCCTCATCTAGCGTGATCCATCGATAATTAGCCCGCATTATTCAATGAAGAGAAAGGAAGGGAAGGAAAGGAGGAGGAGGAGAGAGAGTCAAAGGGAGAGCGTGCCTAATGCTATTGAAAAGGCCTCACTGTCACGTTTTGATGGGAGGAAGAGGAAACGGAAGCCTAAAACCCGGAAAGAGGGAGGAAACAATGCCTAGCTCCCCTCTTCCTTTGGGTCCTACTCTTCGTACACAATCAACGTTCCTTCTATTGTTGGATCCACGATGGAATAGGATAGGATACAACGAAGAGATCCCTCGACTGGAAAAAGACGACTTCACGAACTCACGAAAATCTCTTCTTGTCAGTCAAGACAGGCTGTGACTTCGCATCAAGAATTGACTACCGCTTGTAATTAGATAATTGGACGGTTAATTAACTCGTGGGAAGAGGAATAGGTCCAGTATATCAACATTCCTTTTCCAGCCATTCTCTCACATCCTCGTTAGATTTTCTTTTATTTTTTTCCCCTCATCCTTGTATTTCTTATATCTGGTATGGATTCTCTAATTGGTGTTCTTGTCTGTCTCTGTCTGTCTGTCTATAAGGGGCAGCTACTGGTACTCCCTCTCATTATGATGGAATGCATTTCAAGTCCGAACCATGTCATCTCGTATCCCCTCCCCTTCACTTCACACCATCATAATAATTTTAATCCTGATGGTACGCAATCAACGACCTCAGAGGTATTTGGGACAAGGAAAGAAAACCTGGCATCGCACACCGTCTTACATTTGAATTGCATTTGCGTGCTTGTTTTAGCGATCACATCTGGACTACAAGCATATCATACACGACACGCTTCGATGAACATCTGAAACCAACTTCAACCGATTAATCAATGAACGTTATTTTTGGACAAGTTAGAAACAGGCTGTGGATTAGCTCCTTAAGAGATTCATCTCAAGGGCATAAAAAGAGTTATTCGATGAAAGGGAATCTCAACGATTTGATCATTTCCTAACCCCTATTGGGCTCCGTCGAGATGGTCCTTCAAAATGATCCTCCTCGTACTGCGAGGATGCTGTCCATATAGCTATCAATAGTACCTACCATAGGTCTATATTGAATTCGTATCATCACCCGAGGTCGAGTTGCCAAGCAGGAACGTGAACAAAAGAAAGCCAAAACTAAGGGTAAGGGCGAGTAGCGTGGGTTAAAAAAAAAGGGGAGGATGGAGGGGGGGGAGGGAGTGGCACGGGAACTCTAAGACGCCGTTCTCAGGATTTTCATGCGGATTTTCAATTCTTACTTTATATTTTTTTTTTAAGTCCCGGCCCCCCCCCCCCCCCCCCCCCCCCCNGCAAGCATTTTACTCCCCCCCCCCCCCCCCCCCCCCCCGAATCGTGTGGAAGGGCCTACATGAGGAAAGAAATCCGAGATTGAATCCCTTCTCAGATATGCCACATTTTTCAAAGTCTCTTCATTTACTTAAGATGATTTTTCATATTCAAAGAGTTCATTTTCTAGAAGAATGAAGAATTAGTATTTAAAAATTCCTACAAAGACGTAAATCAATGCAATAAATTCAAAATTGTTAGATATTACTCTTGTTTTCTCGCTTTTTGAGGTTTGATACTATCAATACATGATCCTTATTCTCTTCTACATCAATAGGGTTTCTAGCTTCCTTTTTTTTTTCATTAAAAAAAAGAGCACGCCGGCTTGTCACGACAAGAGCAATGGGAAGACTTCCCAAGGGCTTCGTCGACCAGTCCTTGTCTCCCCCACTCGTATTAGTTGATACGGTGCTCCATTAAAAGTAAACTTAGGCAACGCCAGCCCTGACTGGCAAGTAGGCTCCAAAAAAGACAGATCGCTTAGACCAGACCAGCGTAACCCCAAAAGGCAGATCGCCAAGGCGAGAGGTCATCGGTACCTTCTCGTTTCTCGGTAAGTAGCCTTCGTTTCATAGGAAACCCTTGAATTTTACGATTTTAAACAAATTTTCAGTACTATTCCAGCTAAATCGGAAATTTCCCCAAAAAGTAAACATTCGCTTCGATGCAAGATCGATGACAACTCATTCCTCAGATACCGATCGATACGTCTCTCTCCCGACCTGTGCGTTCTAAAAAATAATTATTTTTCCGTACTTGAGATCTGCACCGAGCAAAATTCTTCGGTACCCTTGCCTGTCGTAATCCAGCTGGTACTTTTTGCTCGAGATCGGTCCGCGTCTTCGGCCTCCAGAAGATTCCCAACCGAGCCCTTGGGAATTTCTTCAAATACCAGACCACGGCGAAAGAAACTTTCTGAGCTCTGAGAGATCCGCGACAGGTGTGGGAACGGGCACGAAGTTAGTCATGAGCTCGGAAAGGGCTATGTTGCACTCAGTCCAGAATCTTACGAGGCTTATAATGAGTGGGAGGTGAAACTCGAAAAGAGGAGACCTTGAAAAAGAAGAGGAGTGGACAGGAAAATGTCGGGAATCCCGCAAGGTGATCTTCCTGGGAGGGCCACGGTCCAATTAAGGTAATTAATGAGGGAACATACTCATTAGGGATGACTGGCTGGCACTGGCCAGGCTCCAGGACGTGTAGACCTGGGCCTATAACAAATAATCCCATCGATAAGGAGGCGCCTACAAATTGCAGTGGAAGACGCAATCAGTGAACGGTGATTACTCGAACCCCGTCCTCGTTCCCCTCGGCTCCATGCACCACCCCTCCGGCCGAGTCTTCCAGATATTTCTTCTGGGCCGAAATCGTACGACGGCAGAAAAGGGGAATCGGTTTCTCGCCCTCGAATCCGGTAAATATATCGATTATGGTATCGCGTAACAAGCAGTCATGTCATCGCGTTACGGGGGCGGAGTGAAAGCACAAAGCAAGTGGGCTTCGGCGCTTAGACTCCACAGGGTCACCAACTTTTTTTTTATCCCCTCCTCTGCCAAGGAACGTCCCATTTCTGACACCTGCCTTTCCTACGTCTCTTTGAGTTCCAAGCGGTCGATAAGCTCGAGTTTGCGACGATATGGGAGAAAATACGAGGCGATGCGATCCTATGAGTTTCCGTGCCGTCGCTCGAGAGGATGCACTTGCACTAAGTCGCTCTCGTCGCTCGGTTGCATTCCTGAATTCTGTTGCCCGAAGACCGTCGTTGTGTACTTCACAGATCGAGCAGAAAGTAATTCTGGGCAGAATACTTCTCTACGACTGTTCCATACTTTCGTTGTTACGACGGGAGGAGGTTGGAAAAGACTTGTCTGCCCCGCTTGAGCAAGAGCGAGGAGCTCCACCCACTTCCTCTCTATGCAAATAGGATATCGTTCATGTGGAGAGAAGAGAATTAACGCCACCCTTCTTAATGAGCACGACTAAAGATTCCCAAGTCTTTCTACCATTTCACACCAAGAACGGAATAACATTCTCTGGGGGCTACAGGAGATTTATCTAATCTCCTTTTCGTCGTGTCGGCGTAAAAATAATGAAAAGAGCGTAAATAAAAATGTCAAGGATTTTAGGAAGAATTTCTCTCCTCGAGTAACCATGGGCAGAGAAGAGAAGAGAGGAGAGGAGGGGAGGGGAGGGGAGAAGCCCCAAAAGTGGTTTCACGTCATTGGGGTGTGGAGACGGAGTCGGCATCTTCCTTCACACGAGTCCAAGAACAAGAGAGACACATAAATATCCTGTCTGGAGATCAAATTTCTGGCTCTAACTCCTTTTGCCTTTCCCGCCGCCATCGGCCCGTGTAATTCCCAGCATAAAAGGGAGAGTTACTTTATGGCAGTCAAAACAGGAAGGGTTCTGCAAATATCCCCGAGGCCATCGCTTCTGTCTCGTCCCGAATCGGAAAGAAAAAAACACGTTCGCGGTCGACGCAGGGAAACGTGGAAGCGCGGGGTGCGGAGGTCCCCGCACCCCATTCCGCAAATGCATCATTCATGGAGGTAATCCATTAATACCTGTCATTTCATTTTTCCGAGGTACCAGATAACGAGGCGGTGACAGGTCATTGTTCGGCGATCCGATCCCAGATCTGTTTGCCCCAAAATGAAGGGGAGAAAAAAAGGAGAGAAGCACGGCATGCCGTGAATGGATCAGCCGGCATGAGTTTGCAACTCTGCCTCATTGAGACGGGGAAATGCATCAGCCGGATTAAATATCGATCCCTGTTCCTGTCCATGAAAGATTGAGGAGGGGGAAAATCCTCTTCTCACCTTTTCTTGCTGCTGTAGTTGCTTCATGGCCAAGGATCTCTTCTTGTCTTTGCATCGCTTGTTCTGGAACCACACTCGAATCACCCTGTGCACGAAATGAAACAATCCGATCTCCAATCTGACTCCAAACTATCCTCGTTCCCTCGAGAGCTCCCAAAGTAACGATTAGGTTACGCCGCATTGCTTTGGCAAATCCCCTGGATGACACCGGGTCGACGCATGCATACCGTGATAGATGCGATTGCTATGCCGCTTTTCCTTCGACGATAACGAGACTAAGAGACTCGAAAAGCGAGAAGGGTGAAACTTTTGCAGCCTTCCTGGTTTTAAAATTCTTTCCGTACGCGGACGATGAAAGGTCCGATGATTACGGGGCGAAGGAATGCACCGCACCTGGGACTGAGTCCGGTCATCTCGACGAGTTGTTCCTTCATCAGGGCATCAGGTCTGGGATTGGCAGCATAACAGGTGCGAAGGGTGTGAAGTTGTTTCTCGTTCAACACCGTCCGGACCCGAGTCGTTTTGGTGTCTCCTTTTCCCTTCCCCTCCTTCCGATGCTCTCGAACCGTCCCCGAGTCGTCACCTGGGTCATAAATACACAGACAAAGACCTCGAGTCTCCTCATCGAACGCCATACTGCATGTAGACCGACCCCCACGATAAAGAAAAAACCATGTCTGCGATAAAAACCCGCTCCTCACTCGCGGGAGATGAGCCTCGGGCCATGTAGATTCTAGCCACATGCAGGCGAGCGCATGACGTTCTTTCCTCGTGAATTCCCCGAGAAAATTTCTGCTAAACTGGAGAAGAAACGGACGGTTGGATTTCGGGAGCGGATCCGGAACGCGCTTGCGGATCGGATGACACGCTCGCTCTCTTTATTTGATCGAAGGGAAGGCGGCTCGAGGGGATCCAGTAAAGGTATCGGGTTCAGATGGATGAGGGTGGGCAGGGTGGCGAGCAGTCGCACGCGCCCCGGCGCCACTCCGAGTCCGTTTACGATCTTCTCGTCTCCCTCTCCTCGGATGAGGACGACCACCGTATCCCTCCGTGCGTGCCGAGAGGGCGATAAGTCGGAGGCGTAGACTTCCGGCCCACTTCAGGTACGAGGGGCCCAGGTGTGCCAGGGCCTCGAACTTCAAAAGAGGCACGAGATGCCGATGACAGAAAGCGGTGCTTATCGACGTTAGACAAACAGACAGCACACGCGCTTTCGTACCGATTCGAGACGCGGAAAATTCACCGCTTTCGAAGGTCGAAGCGATGACTCAAACGAAAGAATGCACGGGATGGGTCCACGAGTGGGACAGCGCGACGGATACGGACCTCTTTAGAAGTTCGCAAGGTCATCCGGTACACGATAGAAACACCTCCGCTCGTAAACACGACCGAGCGCGGAAAGATACTCATCGATTCGTAGTCGGTTCTATACTCTATACCCCTTTCTCACCTGAGAAGCTGTTGTTGGAGGCCGGACTGTGATTGGTGTTGTTGTTGGCCAGGTTGGGATTGTTGTTGTTATTCTCGGAGGAGACCTTGTTCTCGGTGACCTCGTGGTCCGCCTTGCAAAAGAGGCCTTGGTGGCGTTCTACCCATTCAACTCAGATTAATATGTGGCTTTCAAGTTGCCAAAAATATTTTTTTTACCGTTTTACCTTACTGCCGTTTTACCTTTTTACCGCTTTACAGTGAATGGGTTTTTGTAGCGCCAATTACCTTTATTCAACCCCATCCCATAAAAAATTTCAATCCCCTCGAATTCCTCTCTGATAGCATCAACAGGTACAAAATTGAGCATGCTTCCTACCTTCTTAACACAGAATTGCTCCAGCAAATTCGAAGCTCCATCTCCCCGGGGTTGTGGGGAACACTGTATCTCGTTTTTTGCAAGGTGCAAATCCCCCCCCGGATGATCACTCCTGGGAGATTTTCGGAGGAAAGAGACCAACCAAAGGGAAGGTATTGACTATTAGATTATGATAAATGACTTTTTTGTTGTATGCAATGCATCATTTCGCCTTAAAAAATGAAATTATCTGTAGTTCATTTCGGCTTAACGTGATGGCTCCGGTTTCGTACTCCAATGTTGCCGGATATCATGCTGGAGTTTATGCCAGAATCATGACTGCTTCGGACTTCGTATCGGTGTCTGGATCTTGCTTTTTAGTGTATGGGACATTTTTGTACCGAGTTCACGAGATGAGTCTAGAATGAAACGGTGGTTAACAGTCTCCGATCGATTTGTTGGGATTTGGAGATGTCTTACCCGGACGCATATATACAAGCCCTCCTCGATCTCGACACTCACTGGTAAGGTAGGTGAAGACGTGTGAGAGCGAGAGCGTGAAGGCGCGTGCAAGGCGCCTGAAAGTCCACCGTCCTCTCTCTCGTAGTTCTGCACAATCGACACTGGTATCCCCACTTGCGGACAAATAAACTTTAGCTTGGCACGGTTGGATAATTTGGCGATATACCCACTTCTGTAAAAGCTCACCTAGGCCTCTTCTATTCATCTACTAGTATTTCTGTAG